CCACAAAGCTTCATCGCGGCTGGGATAGATTTGGGGACATTGTCATCAAGCAGTGAAGCAATTTCGAGGAGAGTGATCTCAGATCTATTAGAAGGTGTGATGGCGAAGGCGGAAGGTGGGAGAATCTGCTCAGCATGAGTAGATGTTTCCGAGGCGGTCGCGATTGACGGGCGGGTGGGTACAGCCGGACCGGATTCAGTAGGCGGGTGGGTGGTAAAATTAGCAGGTTGGGTATGAGGAGTGGACTGCGTACGAAGGTATGGATCCAAGGCTGGAGCTGGAGTGAATGCCACTGGTGTCACTCGTGGAACCTGAAAGAGTGGTGTTGGCTGGGGCGTGCGTACTGGGGGAGAAGCCTGGGCGGTGGTTGTTGTAGATGAAGGTAGAGAGCGAAGTTCGTAATCATGAGCAGCCGCTCGCTGTTTAGCTCGCTGGGCGACCAGGGCAGCATGTTTTTTTTATACAAAATGCTGATACGTATCAGGGGAGGAGGCCCACCAGGCAGGTGGGCCAGGTGGAGAGGATGAGTCGGAGAATGAGTGGTAGTCGGACGACGAAGTGTGCGAGTGAGAAGTGCACGAGCCATGGTTGTTGTGCTGAGAGTCATTGGAGGCAAAGGATTGGTTCAGGGGATCGGCAGGGACAGGATTAGTGCTGCTGGGGACAGGTAATGGTACTGCGGTAGGTGACTGCGTTGGTGGTAGTGGTGGATGTGGTAAGGTATGTGATATTGTATCAGTGTTAGTGGGACCGTGCATATTGGGGGTGGGTGGCACGGTATTGGTTGTAGTGTTGGGACTGGTACCATTGGAGGGAACTGAATCCGGGAGCGGGGCAGTAGCTGGTGGTGGTACCGGACCAACATAGGGGACAGTGGTCGATTGTGGATTGTTAGTGGTCGTAGCAGGGTTTGTCCACAGTGTCGGTATGGTGTAAGACGATGGGGTTTTTGATCGTGTTGCACGCTTGCCATCTGAAGACCATTGAGCATTCTCACTAGTGTAAAATCTGATATCGCGGCAGTCGAGGATGTGTTGTGTAGCCAAATTTCGAATGCGATAAGTGTCAGTGGTAGAGTTGGGTGTCATGCCCAAGAATACATCAAGACCACGCGAGTGCTGTACTTGTGCTGTTTCTTAAGTGTATCATCGGAGAGGCGGAAGGCTACAATGCATACAAATCGAGCTGTGGGATTGCAGATGAGCTTACATTGGTGAAATGATTCAAGTGATGTGTTGTGCATGTTTTTGGTGGCAAGCGTAGTGTTGCAGATGTAATCAGCCCAAGTTTTGGCATAACCCCATAATGGTAAAGGCATACAGGCATCCAAAAGTGCTGTACGTGTGAGTCCGTTGAGAGTACCATGGGCGCGTTCGACCAGGCCATTGAGTTGCAGTGTGTTGGGTGGAGTTGTCTCATGATAATTTTGTCTGTGAGTATCTCCTCTTGAGTGTTGCGGCTGTTGAAAACGGAGTCACCGTCGGCAACGATGGTGTGAGGTTTTCATTGGCGTGGTATTTGAACTAGTAACTTGCGGATGTGTGTGTGCATGTTTTCTTTCGCTTTGAGTTGGGAGTGAGTGCCAAATTTAGTGGCGTCAAAGATCATATTGAGGGTGTATCGGTATCCATTTCTGTTAGCTGGGATGGGTCCTTGGAGAGTCGGTTGTGCCATGTGCACGTTCTTGTTCTGGATTTTACCCTCGATGCAGACAGGGCAGTGTTTAGGGTACTCAGGATTGGCACGCACAAAGATAATAGCATCGTTGAGTGTTTGTTGTGGAGATACGAACGTGTGTATTGGCCCAACTAGTGCAATAAGTGTGTATGTCCATGATGGTTTGCCGACAACTTGGTCACCGTGGCGTAGGAACGTGGTCTCTGTGTTGCGTATGATGTATGGCTGTGACTGTATCCGGGACATGATTGTGTTCCACCATTTTGCACAAGGACGGAGTGGGAGAACCATAACTAGTTTAGTCCGGAGGATGCGTTAACAGCCAGCATCTGGGATATATCAGACCATTTAGGATTAGTATAGCATAGTTTATAATCTACAAAGTTGTGACTTTGCGCCAGTCATCGACGATGCCACCGTCCGGGCCGGTAAATAAAGGCGCTTGCTCATTATCCTTGTAAGCACATAGGTCGATATCACACTCCACATCCAGGTATGTGAGACCGTCTAGCACATCTTTCTTATTAAGAAACCATTATTCTGTGCGAACGTTCACTGTCGGTGGGAATGTGAGTGTGATGCCTGCTTTCTTAGCCATTTTTAGTGTGGTTGCACGGCTGAGATGACCCATGACTCGATGGTAGGAGTCATATGATTGTGTTGTACCTCATGCAGGGGTTGTTGTTGCTGGCTGAGTGGTGGACTGAGAGGCCCTGGTGTTTGCATCTGCAGCGGGTGCAGGCTGAGTGTGTACACGTTGTTGTGTGTTAGTGTTTTGTGTGCCCGCGGGTGGTTGGGTGGGAGCATGTCTGCGTTGTGGTGTCACATGTGGCGTTACAGCCGGTGCGTGGTTGGTTTGCTGTGGCGTATCGGCAGGAGGGCGTTGCGTAGCAGGAGTTGCTTGGTTGGTTGGTTTGCTGCTGTGTGCTGTCAATAGTCGGGTGCGTTGCAGTTGGTGGTTGCTTGGAGTGCTGTGGCGTGGCATTCTTGACTGCAGGGGGACATGTTGACAAGAGTGTTGTCAATTGATGGAGTTTCTGGTATAGAACATGGTACCCTTCCTTACTTTGTGACAGGTATAATGTGTTGTCCGAGTGTTTGATAATGCACTATCTTGTATTTTGGGGGAAAATAAGATGGAACCCGTTATCTTGAAGTTGGTTTTGCGATACCAACGGCTGGATTTCATTTGTTCCGACATAAGTAACACCAAGACCGGGTAGGATACCACGCTTGAGTATAATAATGATGGTAGAATTGTCGGCGAGACGGAGTAAAAACTGTCCTGTGTGTGTATCGACTAATAGATGTGAAAGATAGTCTGGTATATAGTTGACACCAGCACCACTGTCTACCTGTAGGTGGTCTTGGTGACGTCATAGAGAATTATCAATAGTGATGGATGCAATTTTGGGATAATGCAAATAGGGGAAATTGTCTTTATTGGTATGTTTACCGCATACAATAGATTTGTGTCCCTTAGCTTGGCAAGCCAGCAGTGCAGTCCTTGTTCATGTGATCCTTAGTACCGCAGCGACCACACGCACGCATGCATACATTTGCAGTGTGGTTTGTAGACCAGCATACAAAGCACGGAGGGCGGCCGGGTGGAGGACGTGTTTGTGCATGGTGTGCTTGAGTGCTATGGTGTTGGTTGTTAGCAGTTGCGCCCTCAAGGCGATCCAGATGTTTAAGCAGTAGTTGAAGTGTTTGGTCAGTCGGGGATGTGACCCCTTTTGCTTGACTAGTAGGCTTAATAGCGGCAACAGTGGGGGGCGTTGACGAAATCAGGTTTAGTTTGTGCCCATGTTTCAAGGTGCTTGTAGATGCATAGGGGTGGTGGGGTGGGCCGTGGGTGTCTGTTGACAAGATATTGGTGTGCTTGTTCCTGTTTATCGGAGTCCAGACCACGGAGGAATATATCCATGATGAAGTCATTAGTGAGAATTAGTTGTTGATTCTCGGCAAGCTCTTGGAGTTTGGAGCAACGTGTAGCTCATATACGCACGTGTTTGGTTGGTTCTCGTTCAAAATCTCGAAGGTATTGTCTATTGATTGACTTATACTTCTTGTGAGACATATGGCCGTATTCCTGAAGCAGGTGTGCAAGAAGGACCCACGGTGGGGCGATGAGGAGCCCTTGGTTCAGAGAGTCAATGACTTCGTCAGAAAATAAACGCATATGCAAGGATTGGGCCTTGTGGTACGTGGAGTCTATAGTGTGATCATCGAGAAAAGTACTGGCTAGCGTAGTGCGCTGGAGCGTGGGGTGGCGGAGGGGGGTCCGGGCGTGAAGGAGTCTCTGTTCAATCGCTGCTGATACCTGTTGCGATGTGATGTCGGCAACTTCGTCGGGTGTCTGATCATGGAACTCAAAGATGTGAGCCAAGGATTGTTTCTGGCCGGCTATGGAGTTGACAGTTAGTCTGGCGTACCACTTGTCAACGTTGGCCCCGTCTAGAGCGAGGCGGGGACCATTGTAGGATGAGACTCGTACAGAGTCGTCGTCAGAACTTCGAACCATAGAGAGAGAGTTCAAAATAAATGCCCATAACCTATGAACCTCTATAAACTTTGGTTTGGAAGAACTAAAGGGTTTATTGATGTGAAAACTGGATATATGCATATCCGAGTGGGACTTTGGTCCGCGTGGTGGACCCGGTGGGCACACTGTAGAAAAACCTGGTGTAGGGTTCTAAAACCGGTAGAGTGAACTTGGTTCGCTCTGACACTGAGCTCAGCTCACTCCCCTTTGCGGGGTAGTCTATGTTCCAAGTTTTTTATTATCAAATAAAAACTGGGTCGGTTGTCGGTTGTCACTTTGTTTGTATTTGAATAAACCGTAGTTTATTCACCTACATTGTGTAATTTCCTCCGCCAAAACAAGCCCACGAGAGAGAAAGTTAGAGAGGATTTGGTGTGTAGTCTCTCGTTTTGTTGCCAGCGCAGGTGTGTAGTACTCTTGTATTGTATATTTATTTCACCTATGGTAGTGGGTGAAGCCAGAGAGAGACACGAATATACTCTGTTGTATAGGCAAACGGAAGTGCGTTTATGGTCAACTTCCCCTTTTAATCGCCACGTGTACAAGCCTACGCTCAAGTACATACATCAGTGGAAGCTCGTTTCTCAGAACAGAATACTGTCAGTTTGTAAGCCTGTATCTACATAAGCAATTCTATACAGTATGGCTACTCCGACAAGTGTGGGCTCTTCACGTATACAACTGGACACGGCTCAGAAGAGAAAGATTTTCAGAGCCTTGAGAGCGATACGGAATACGTATACTTTGAACTTCAACAGTTTTGGTATGCATTCTATGTAGATTGCTCAGTCGTGTGAACACAGAATTTTAGCCACATCCCAAACAGTGGCGTTATTTTTCTTCTTCGAATCACATGGGGCTCATGGTCACTATATATATATATATATATTATATATATATATATATATATATATATATATATATATATATATATATATATATATATATATATATATATATATATATATATATATATATATATATATATATGTGTGTGTGCACATTTCAATATATATATATATATATATATATATATATATATATGCACATTTCAATATATATATATATATAGTCTAGTGTATCTGGATATATATATGTGTGTGTGTATTGTATATGTATATGGACATACGTCTAGAACCGTATGCTAGCTTGTATTATTTTACGTTTTAAATCAAAAACTAATTGTACGTGCCCATTAGAAAGGCTACATGCCTGCCCTTAGCTACTTTTCATTGGAATCAATTCTTATCAGTATCTTCATGTAAGTTCTGTTTCCTCGTCCCAAGACATATTTTGTCCTAGAACGACACATTCGCATCTTGTTAATGTATATGTATATGCACTGCTAGACTTTGCATTAAAGGTTGCGCCACACCGATTCGTCACTACTGTCATCAATGAAATGGGATCAATCATAAAAATACTAAGAATCGCTTGCCAACCACATAATATTGCAATAGATCTTGAAGATGGCCATCTGGACGAATTCTTGACAGAGAAGCCCAGCGCCGCAGAGTGCGTGAAGCACGTGTCTGTGGTTGAGCTTGACAACAACAACCTTACAAGTCTACCAGCGATAGTGGGTAGCTTTGAATACTGGGAAGATGTTCGATCTTTGTCCTGCAGGAATAATAAGTTGACGCATATTGATGGGTTTCTGAGCGCTGCTACGGGTAAGTGGATATACATAGTTGTACGATGTACATGTACACGTACACATATGCAAATTGTCAATAGTTTAGAAATGATATGTTAGTCCTTGTAGGCATGAATCGACATTTCGCTGGATCTTCTTGTAGCGAGATTTTTCTTTGCACACATATACAATTCTAAAGAATGTGAGTACACGTGTATATGTTTATTCTGACTACATGAAGCACAAATTTAGTACGTGATCATGGTAGTGTAAATTGTGTATATATGCGTGTGATGAGTCCTTCGTTGATGGACGAATTCAGATATTCGTATAGATTTTTTTCGTGTGTATACGTCCAGATACCCGTATACATGCGCTGTAGTCCTGCATATACATATGTTTGTGTTATATATATTAGTCAGTACGTGTGTGTCCATGTCTGTGTGATGAGATCCGTTTTTCCTCCTTCTGGTGTCCTTGTAGTATTGCATTTTGTATTCTCATCCATTTATTTCAAATTCCTATCAGTGTTTTGTATATATTAATATCAACCACTCACACACATGATATTGCTTTCTCCTCGGGCTGATGCAATAGACGTGCGAAAAGTCATTTTGTGTGGAAACTTATTGCAATCTCTTCCCGAGAGTTTGTATCAGCTAAATGGATTGCAAGTGTTGGACCTGAGTGACAATAAACTAGAATCTCTCCCGGAATGGTTTGGCAATCTATCCGGTATGTAAGTTTTTTGGTCGTCTAGAGGTGTTAGCTGGTTTCTATTAATGTGTATTGCACGCGTTAGTTAAAAATCAAATCCTGTTCCCACCACATTCGTATACTACGCATTCTACACACGTGCACTCTCGTATTCGTACTATACTTTCACGGTACACTATTATATATTCCTATTGCACATTCTCAGTACTGACCAATTGAACACTAGGAAGTGAGCCACAACCGTGACGTACTGATACGATCTATCAAATATACGCATTCGCATGGGGGCTCTGTGTTCAAATATTCAAATCGCCGCTTCCTTGCCACATATGTAACGTGCCGTGGTATCACACCATGCGATGCGGGCGTTACCACAATTTCTTGTACCGGCAATGCGTGGTGTTATGTCATTTAGCAGACAATACTATGAAGTAAAAGGGGCTCTGCCGCGAAGACTTGTGCTTTGTTGTATGAGAACTAGTTTACTGTCCTTGTATGAGTGTGAATGTATAGATGTATCACAATGGCGTTGACAACGAGTGTCATTGAATACCATACTAGTTACCATGAAGGTATCTCCGGCGATGTGTCTTATTTGTACTTTATTTTCAAGCTCACTGCGCCACAGACGACACGTTTGAAATTTCCTAGGACAGCGCTCCCATTCGTCGTACGACAGGAGTCTCATTTTATAGGAGAATGCGACAATTCTTCTTTCGCATTCTCCTAAAATTTGAAGAAGGGAATGTGTCTTTAGTGCTGTGAGAATGCTACAGTTCTTCGTACGACAAGCATTGAAATTATCCCATCGCCTGACTTTAATAGTGGCCATTCAGAACTCGACTCAAGTTTTTATTCTTATTTTATCCAGTTTTACTTATAATGTGCGTTTTCTGGTGCACTCTACTATATACAGAGAGCATTGATGTCAGGCTCCACGACAATCCTTTTGCGGATGAGGAGTTGAGATCGGTTGCGGACAGTGGCAGCTGGGTAAAAGTGCGCAAATATTTACGCAGTAAGTGGGTTGAATACTTGTCTATTGATGTTGACTGCTTCGTATATGTATGTTCTGTTCATCTTGCGCGCATGCATCACCACGTGTGTCTGTGAACAATGTGTCGATGAAGATATCACGGAGTTGTCGTTGGCTGTGTTGTATGCTCCATGGTATCAAGGATTGCTTTTCATATTAGGGCTTCTTTGTGGGGGTTTTTCAAGATCTGGATGATGAGCAGCGCTTACACTGAAGTAAGCGAGGAGAAACTGTCCTATTCTTTGGCGGCCTACGCCTCTGTTCGCTTCCTGGTTATCTGCAAGTTCTGCCAGTCTTTTCTCTATCTTATATTGTTTTTGTTGTTGCTTTTTGAAACCTTTCTGACCTGCTATGACCTTGTAGGCAGCCAGCCCGCGTCCCGCTACCGCCCCAACCAAGAACAATCAGAGCAGCATCTAGCCAATGAACTCGTTCTAGTACTTGACCCACCCCGTGCCGTGGTGTGGGTCAGTGGAGCTGACTTTGCCCAAATGGAGAATGCCATAGAAGTAGCGCGCTCCACTTTCACCACTCCTGCTGCGGCCAAAGCACTACTGCAATTGTACCGCAAGGAGTGTGTGGAGATGGTGAGCGGATCCGAATTGATTGGCTTGGGGTTACAGCAAGCTGATACACAGGTATTTATCTCTGTCTGTGTGTGTGTATGCGTGCGTATGTTACAATATACCACTCCTGCTGTAGTTAAAGGACAGCGGCAACTGTCATATTAGGGGTCGGTGAAGATGGTGAACGGACCGATTTGGTTGGATATGGCTTCAGATGGCCGATGCATAGGTGATTGCCCGATTCAGCGTGTTAATGTCTGTGTTCGTTAATTTTGGTGTATGTTACGAGGGTGCGTTCATAAGTGATACATTCTCTGTGTGTGTGTGCCACATGCGTCTGTATGATTTCTGTGCGCATATGTCCGTTTGTGTGTTTTGGCGTCGTGTGTGTGTACGTCTCCATGTCTTTGATCCGCACTAGTCAACAAAATTTAAGAAAATTTCGTCCAAGTCTCTGCCGCAATGAGTCAATAACACCGCTGTCATTTTACCAGTATGAAATTTACATGTTTTTGCTGTTTTTGAAGATGGTATGTATCCTGCAAGATGCTACCTGTTGGCGGTTATGTCTCTCATCTCCTGGAAGTTCTGTTTCTCGAGATATTATCTTATTTGAGCGTCATGTACCGGTTAGATTTTCGCAGTCATGTGATTCCATTTGTCCGAAGTATTCGTGACCATCTTGGCATGGAACCTCGTCAATCCGTTATCAGATTTCACTCGCTAGCAACACTAAACAAATCCACTTCACAGCAGCAATCTGTGTACAATCTACACCATCGATCTATCGAAAGTGTGATCCATTGCTAACACACCATGATTCCAATCTGTGTACAATCTACACCATCGATCTATCGAAAGTGGGATCCATTGCTAACACACTGTGACTCCGCCCGAACATCATTTGTAGCATATGAAGGATAACAATGGAGCCGCACAGCAGGCACGCGGTGGTATGGCCTCCCACTTGCCACCGCCTGTCGCTGATGCACAACGCTTGAGTACAGCTTCCTCGCATGTGAGTCAAATTCACGAAACTATTTATCGCCATGCATGTTTATTTTGCATTGATCGCAGTTAACCGACAAAATGATATACCGTGCCCGCAGTACATGGTTGACCCCGTATAGTATGTGTACATCTGGCCCTGTGTACAAATTACGCTACATCATCTCCGTGTCTCACTCTGATATGGCTACTATCTCTCAACTATACGTACCCGGTGCGTAAATCTCGTTTTATTTCTATTTTTGATTTATACATCTATTTATCTATATATATATATATATATATATACTCAACTATAATTACTATAGTTGCTACACGTTTTAGGGCTTACATTTATATGGCTAATATGTATGTGCTGGATGTTCCTAAGTGTTCTAAATTATCCAGATTATCTCATTGTATAACTGACGCGCATTCTGTAGCTTATAAAGGAGGTACCCACTTCTGATCAGCAGGAGACGCAACAACCCCCTGCTCAGGAGTCGTCGCAAGAACAACAATGGGCCGTTCAATACCAGCAGGCCATGCAGCACATACACCAAAAAATGCGAGAACAACAGCAGAATATGCAACAACAGCAACAAGAGATGCAACTACTACAGCAACGACTACAACAACACCAGCAACACCAGCAGCAACAACAAATAGATCAGCAGCAGCAACACCAGCAGCAGAGGCTATATATGTACCAACAGCAGCAGCTACGATCGCAAGCTCAGCAACAAGCTCAGCAGGTGCAAGCTTTGCCTAATAGACCTATGCTTGATTACCAGCAACCGTTGAACTCACCCAACCGACAGAACTTCAACCCGCAGCAGTATGAACAACTGCAGAGACTTGCCCAGATTCAGCAGCAGCGCCAGCAACAGGCACCTATGCAACAACAGGAGGCGCTATTCCAAGGACAAGCCCGAGCATCGCAACAAACGATGCCACAACAACAGCTGCACCAGAACCTGGCATCTGGAGATCTTCGGGCGACTCTGAGTGGGTCTGCTGAGACGAAAGCCTCTCCATTCGGTCCAGGTAGAGTTTTGTGTGCTGTCTCATATAGGTATCGCTGAGATGGACTTGTTGTTACACTTAAATTTTTTATGAAATGTATCTGTTATTGATACACAGAGTTATGTGTAGTCTATTACGATATATTTGGAGATGTTTCGTTGGAGAGATGCGCATATGCATATGTGCGCTCATGTAGGTTGTGTCTATACATACTACAGACTTTCCGTTGCTATTCGCTATACTAAATATCATTCACGCATGAGTGTACAGGTATGTATACACATACAGTTCATAGTTTCTTGAATACAGACATAGGCATCGCACAATATGACCTGTATTTCAGATTCCGAGGTTTATGTGTATAGGCATATATATGTTTATGCTTGTACTAATTTCATCCCATATATTGAGGAGATGCAACATGTACATGTGTGTTTGTTGCATTCACATACAACTGAATATGCTTCATTGTGCGTGTGTGTGTGTATGTAAACAAAATCACAGATGTGTTTGTATGTAATCTTAATCACATATATGTGTGGATGTACTGTAAATCAGAACTTGCGCTAGAGTTTAAGTAGTTTTAATTTTGTTTTACTGCTTATAGTTTTATATTATTATACCGTCTACTAGTGTCTTTGCTTACAGTTCTAACATACGTGCATGAGTATATTCGTACTATGTATGCCAATTCATCGCAACTACTCTATAAGTTCCAACTCGTTGATTTGTTTTTTATCATGGTCGCTGTCCCAAAAGCAGGTGGAACCTCCAATCACCAGCCCACTGCGAGCCCTTTCTTGTCTGTCAACCAATCCACCGGAAGTGCAAATCACAATGCTGCGACAGGACTATCCAACATAGCTTTGCCTACAGCCACCATTAACTCTCCAGCTACCGTCATGCAGCTCAACGTCTCTGTGAGTGCTGTGTTTGTATTTATCATGTTAGACGTAGATTTTGTATTTGTGAGTGCTGATCTATCATGTTAGACGCAGATTTTGTATTTGTGAGTGCTGTGTTTGTATTTATCGTGTTAGACGCAGATTTTTTATTCGCGTGCTATGTTTGTATCTATCATATTAGACGCAGATATTGTTTTGTGAGTGCTATGTTTGTATCTATCGTGTTAGATGTAGATACTGTGTTTGTGAGTGCTGTGTTTGTTTTTATTGTTTAGATGTGGATTTTGTATTTGTAAGTGCTGTGTTTGTTTTTATTGATGGATAGATATTGTTTTGTGAGTGCTGTGTTTGTATTTATATATCGTGTTAGATGTAGACACTGTATTTGTGAGTGCTGTGTTTGTTTTTAATCGTTTAGATGTGGATTTTGTATTTGTGAGTTATGTGTTTGTTTTTGTTTTGTTAGATGTAGATATTGTATTATTGTGTATGTTGTGTGAATGGCGGTATCTACTGCTACCTAATTCCCAGGTATTCTTAAAGCTAGTGCTGTGTTTACGCAGCACCTACTCCTTCACACTCGCTCAATAATAACAAACATGCAATGCGAATGTTGTGTTTGGGTGTAAAGATTAATGCTGTTATGTAACAATACAACGCCTACAACCACACAGTTCGCTTTACATTGGGAGTGTCAAACCATTCTCATAAGGATGGATACTCAATGTCCGAGTGTACCACATACCGTCGTTCGTTTCGTCGCAACTGTGTGTGTATTCACTTTACCTGCCCTATGCGAGATTGTGTGCCCTATGTATGAGCAGCTATTGTTGTCTCTGTGTATTCATTGGGAGTACAACCATTTTGACTCTTTTACTTGCTATTTTTAACGGGAGTAGCGCGAGTCAGTTACTCTCAATTGCGAGCCCGGTCTTGTCCACGCCTGTGTCTGTTGTGTCCCTTGTCACCTCACTGAGTACTGACTGGCTTTGTGAGTCGAAAAACTTGGCTATTGCATCCCCTATTACATAAAAATTGCGAGTAATGTGCGTCTCTCAATGATAGCAATGTGTGTCTTCATATGAGAGTACTTTATATCCGTTCATATGGGTAATGTGTGTGTCTTCACATGAGTAATGTGTGCCACTTCATATGGGTAATGTGTGTCTCTTTATATGAGTAATGTATGCCACTTCATGAGTTTTGTGTCTCTCTTCATATGTGTAATGTAATGTGTGACTCTTCACATAGTATTGTATGTGTATTCATATGAGTAATGTGAATCTCTTCATATGGGTAGCGTGTCTCTCTTCAAATGGGTAATGTGTGTCTCTTCATATGAGTAATGTATGTGTCGTCGTATGAGTAATGTGTGCCACATCATTTAAGTTTTGTGTCTCTCTTCATTTGAGTAATGTGAATCTCTTCATACGAGTAATGGTGTCTATTTATATGGGTAATGTGTGTCCGTTCACATGAGTAATGTGTCTCTCTTCATATGAGTAATGTGTGCCACTTCATATGGGTAATGTGTGTCTCTTTATATGAGTAATGTGTGCCACTTCATGAGTTTTGTGTCTCTCTTCATATGTGTAATGTAATGTGTGACTCTTCACATGAGTATTGTATGTGTATTCATATGAGTAATGTGAATCTCTTCATATGGGTAGTGTGTCTCTCTTCAAATGGGTAATGTGTGTCTCTTCATATGAGTAATGTGTGTGTCGTCATATGACTAATGTGAATATCTTCATACGGGTAATGTGTGTCCGTTCACATGAGTAATGTGTGTCTCTTCATATGAGTAATGTGTCTGGTCTCTTCATATAAGTAATGTATGTCTTTAAGGTGAGTTTTGTGTCTGTGGATGAGAGCAATGTGTGCCTGTTCATATGAGAAATGTGTGTCTCTTCATATGAGTAATGCGTGTCTCTTAATGTGAATTTTGTATGTCGCTTAATGTGAGTATTGTACGTCTCTTAAAGAGAGAAAAATTTACCCTCTTATAGGCACTGGTGGAGGGCTCTTACATAAACCCTCTTACAGGCAGGCAAGTAATGTTTACTCCCGAAGGGTGTGTAGGGCGGTCCCCATGGGTAGAGCATGTAAGGTCACTAGGGAGACCCTCCACCAGTGTAATGTGTGTCTCTCCATATGAGAAATTTATCTATCAATGTGAGTAGTGTGCGTCTGTTGCGTCCCCTCTCGTTATGTTTTCTTTTGCCCTTCTCGCACAGCCTTATGCAGTCATTGCCAGGGCTGTGAGTGCTATACCCTCCGCCACATGCGTGAGTCTGTCTTATTTAACTGTAGGACCCATCTTCTCGACGCCTGTGTCTATGGCGCGTCCTCTTACCATTCTTCTCTTCGCATTTCATGTACAGTCACAGCCAGATGTTTGGGGTACCAGTGGGTTTGCGTCGAGCTCCAAACTGAACCCCACAGTATCCACATCCGCTAATGAAGATTCTGAGGCGGAATATTCTGAAGGCGAAAATGAGGAAGAGACTGAGGACAATGGCCAGGGATATGATGAGGAGGAGGAGAGCACTTTGTTTGAGGCCCGTGCCGAACTGTTCGAGATTGTGGACGGTACACCACAGGTTCTGGGGGTGGGCTCATGCATTGTAACGCAGTTCACCAAGTCGCGCGACAGCTACTTGACCTTTTCGGAGGAAGGAACGGATGCGATTCTTGCTTACCATACTATAGATGAAGAACTGGAGGTACGACCGGATACAAAGCAGCGGATTTTCGTTTGGAAAACAAGTATGTAGTAATATGTATTGGGTCGGTTTCTATCTTGTAAAGTATAGTACTCAGTCGCGCGAATAATTAGTTTACCGTTATTCATGATCAGACAACCTACCATGCTGGTGAAATTGAACCACCATTTGTATTTGGTGTCGAAGTGACATTTCTTGAGACTTTTCGGATGGGAGTGCCATTTATGATATTATGAGCACTACTATATATATATATATATCGTAATTAGTGTGTGACACGTGTGATACCGAGTCCACGTGGGGACATGTGTGTATGATGGTGGGTTTTGGAATGTGCACATTATACATAGATTAGGGTGGAATGTTGTAAACTATAGGTTTAATTCGTGTAAGCCAATAGTTTGCGTACATAACGCTAGGCTGAACTTAAGTCAACTTTAAGAATTTACTTAAAAGCTGTAAGGTGGTGTAAAATATATAGATGGTGACTACGGTATCCAGAAGGGAACGGTCGTCATCATGATTCAGGCCAGCAGTTAGTGTCCGTAAGGAGCTAACTTGTTATAGGCGCCATTAGGCCATGGGCTCACGCGTATATAAACCGACACCGTAAAGTTATCAGTCTTAACAATTTCTAGAAGCTATTACACTACTTTAAAACAAGCAAAGGATCCATACTTTCCACTCTGGATTTGCTGGTTTTTTGAACTTAAAAAGTACCCGCAATATATATATGTGTGTGGGTGGGTGTTTATATGTATGTATGTATATGTATATATATGCATACGTATACATATACACGTCTTTGTATATGTATGTATACATATGTGCACAGACATACATATATATATATATATTTATATATATATATATGTGTGTGTGTGTGTATTCTGTATGTATGTACATTTGTGTGTGTGTTAATGTCTATGTCCAAATTTATACTCTGTATGTTTATATATATATATGTGTGTAGATGCATATGGATATATATATTAGTTTGCTTTCGCTTCAGCATCTACATGAATTGTTCGTGTATGTGTGTATATATATATATGTATGCCAGTGTTAGTGTATATATATATGTATGCCAGTGTTAAGTGTATATGTTTATATATGTATATTTATGTTTTTTATTTTTGTAAATTTATATATTTAATACATTTGTGTGTATTCGTGTTCATATATATATCTACAAACATATATATATAGGTATATATTTTTATTTTACATTACAAACATATATATATATATAGGTATATATTATTATTTTACATTACAAACATATATATATAGGTATATATTATTATTTTACATTACGTGTCCTTTTATTTGTGTGTCTGTAAAAGTGTTTTGCGTATTGTCGGAGATATGCGGAAATTAGGATGATGCGGACTATATGTTAATGACTTTGGCCTGAAATATCATTCACATACTCATTCTGATGTTGTATGCAGATCGTGATCAGTCGAGAAGCGAACAACCCACCACTTGCCTCTTCAAGATTCTGTTTCAAAAGGAAGAGTTGGCTGCCCAGGTGAGTGGCGCCGGTTGTTTTCAGTTTTGTTACGATTATCAAGTGTGGTCTACTTTTTCATGAGGGGTTTGCTTCTGAGAGAATCTCTTTCGTCGATTTTGCCTTCTTTTCTTTTCTTATTCTTTTTTTACTCTGGTACCTCTTGGTGATAATATCAAATTTCTATTGAAGATCGTTCGCGTTCATATTTTGCTTTGTGATTTTAAACGCGATGTGTCAAGCTCTTGAGCATCACTCTTGAATTGTTCTGTATAGGCTTGACCGTTAGTATTCGTGGTGCAGTTGTCACTCTGTTTTATCTGGTCACATGAAGTGTGTTGCAAGTGTACACTGGATGGTGTATATACCTTATCAGCGTCATAATTCTACTTGTATCATGTTCCACTCCCAATCACACGACTGGTATATATCTATCCTATCGGGTTGTATTACGACCTGTTATTCATCGCGAACCCTGGCAGAGTATATACCTTCTAAAGCTGGCGCGTGCTTATCGGGTATATAATTCAAGCCACCTTTGTATAGGATTACAACCGTGATCACTCCTCTTCGCGTTTCTAAGCATCAACACTTTATTTCTATCGCAGTTTTATCCACTGATGAAGATGCTTATCCCCAAGTCATTGGACACACCCGTCATCAATACCGAACACAGTGGTGGTATTATCTCCACTTTTACTGAAAAATCTGAGGCATCGAAACCATCGGGGCCGTTCGGATTTGCATTCACGAAACCCAGCGCAAATATCGGAGACAACTCACAAACTGTGCAGTCTTCTGTGTCTCCTTTCGCGAACCCAGTTGCAAACCTGAATGCCGGAAACAGTTTCTTTAATACAGCTAGAACTGGTGCAATATCGACCCCCGGCCCCTTTACTGGTTTTGGGAACTCAACGCCGTTTGGTACATCGAAAGCTGAGCCACCTAAACCGAAACATACCTCCTTTGGAGGACTGCCGGGTTCAAGTGTAAGCGATGGTGCAAGTGAGGCATCTGACAGCAACGTCGAGGAGAAAAAGCGAATGGGCAGTCTTCCGAAAGGTTCGGACGACGTAGAGGCTGAACCGGATGTGCACTTTGAGCCCATTTTGAAGCTGGAAGAAGTGGCAGTTGAAACTGGAGAGGATGACGAGGATGTGTTGTTCGAGGCGAAGGCAAAACTCTACAGATTTGTCGATGGTCAGTGGAAGGAGAGGGGCACGGGTCCTGCGAAATTGTTAAAACACAAGCAGAGTGGTGCCGTACGGTTCTTGCTGCGACGAGATGCGACTCTGAAAATAGCTTCAAATCATCGGATTGCTAGTAACATGGAACTGAAGCCCGATACCAATAAGCGTGTGTTCTCGTGGGTGACACCGTCGGATTTCGTAGACGGCGAGAGTACCGAGGAGCTGTTCAAGATTCGCTTCAGAACCGACGAGAACGCGGAAGACTTCAAGACGCACTTCGAGCGCAGTGTAGTGGAGGCAGATGAAGTGTCCCCCTCGCAATCGGAAAAAGAGAGTCCCGAGGGGAAGAAGTCAGAAGTACGTGCAACAGTTGCTACAAACCAGACACCTGAGGATGGTAATAAGGGTAGTTTCAAGATATCACCTGACACCACACAGGGAACACCTCCAGTGACCAATGGACAAACAATGAAACTCGGTGTATTTGGGTCCGCTTTCGGAGGTGCAGGCGCTAGTACGAGTGAGGCTCCAAAGTCGTTCGGCCTCTTCGGTCAAGGAGCAACTATCCAAAGTGGAGGTTTCGGCGCAAAGTTCGGGGGCAAAACTGGTTTTGGGAGTTTTGAAGGATCTACAACGCCACAAGCACAGTCTGCATTCAGTGGTGCTAAGGCCACCACAGATGTCAAAATAGAGCCGCTGTTTGGTGTCAAGAAATTCGATACAAGTAATCCTGGAAAGTATGGTACGGAGAAAGAGCACACCGCCACGGCTAATACTTTGGAGACGCCCAAGATGTCTGATGATGTGGAAGCGGAGCCAGACGTCTACTTCGAGCCAATTGTGCAGCTGAAGGAGGTGGAGGTCGACACAGGAGAGGGTGACGAGAATGTGTTGTTCGAAGCGAGAGCAAAATTGTACAGATATGTTGACGATCAGTGGAAGGAGAGAGGCACGGGCCCTGCTAAGCTGTTGAAGCACAGAGAGAGCGGTGCCGTGCGATTTTTGCTGAGAAGAGATACTACGCACAAAATAGCATCAAACCATCGTATCATCTGCGATATGAAGCTCAAGCCTGACACGAACGAGCGTATCTTCTCGTGGATGACACCGTCTGATTTCGTAGATGGAGAGAGCAGCAAGGAGATGTTCAAGATCCGATTCCGAACCGACGAGGCCGCCGCAGAGTTTAAGGCCAAGTTTGAAGAGAGTATTGCGAATGCATCCCGTGTGCAGGCGGACGTGCCGTCTGATCAAGCCAGCGAAGACGACGAGGATAACTATGGAGCAGAAGGGGAAGAAGTGCATGCGTCTACTTCGCCTGCTAAGCCCTCTATCTGGGGTGTTCCTTCTGGTGATAAATGGGAGTGTCAGGGGTGCTTGTGTACAAACAAAGGGTCGATGGATGTGTGCCCCGCGTGTGGAACGGGTAGGGATGGTAGTGCGCCTGCACCTGAGGTCAAAGCCGAGCCTACGATCACTTTCAATTTTGGAGTACCTCCGTCCATTGCGACATCAGCTACTGACACAGAACCGCCCAAGAAAACAGGACTGTTTGGGTCCACTACTACAGGTGCGAGTGCAAAGAGGTCAACAGAAAAACCAAGTTTTGGACTATTTAGTGTAGGTACCACTCCCGTAGGCTCTGGGTTTGGTGGTGCAGCTTCAATCGCTGAAAGTGGCACTGACAGTAAGCCTGTATTTGGGGTACCAAATGAACCAGAAATAAAACCAAGCACAGGTGCTAAAGTCGTGGACGATGTTGAGGCGGAGCCGAATGTGCACTTTGAACCGCTTGTGGAGCTGGAAGAGGTGGAGGTCAACACGGGTGAGGATGACGAGGATGTGTTGTTCGAAGCGAGAGCAAAACTTTACAGATTTGTTGATAACCAGTGGAAGGAGAGGGGAACCGGTCCCGCCAAGTTGTTGAAGCATAAAGAGAGTGGTGGTGTGCGGTTTTTACTTAGGAGAGACACGACGCTTAAGATAGCGTCGAATCATAGAATTAACAGCAATATGGAACTCAAGGCTGATACAAACGAGCGCATCTTCTCGTGGATGACACCGTCTGATTTTGTAGATGGAGAGAGCAGCAAGGAGATGTTCAAGATCCGATTCCGAACTGACGAGGCTGCGGCGGAGTTCAAGACCAAGTTTGAGGCGAGTGTCGCGAATGCCTCGAATGTGAGGACGAACATAGCCTCTTCATCAACTATTGGCGATGCTGCGAGTACCGAGAAGAAAGCAGCCGAACCAGTCAAGGACAACACAGTATCGAGAATATCTCCTAAGTCGCCAGCGAAGGTCAATCACGAACCCGCACAGTTGCCACAGGTGCAGACCAAAGACGTGAAATTCGGTGCGGGTCCGGGTCCGGGTGCTAATGCGGATGAGTCATTATCAACACCCAGTGTTGGTATATTCGGCTACAACGCAGGAAGCGCCAGGCTCAGCACTAATTCGTTTGGTAGTACAGCACCTGTATTTGGTAGTACAGCACCTGCATTTGGTAGTACTGTACCTGCATTTGGTAGTACTGCACCTATATTTGGTAGTGGTACGGTATCTCCATTTGAAACATTCGGGAAGACGTCAATTACGGACGACTCTTCGAAGCCTAGCTTTGGTTTTTTTGGGAAAGGGGCAGTAAGTGGAGGTGGTTTCGGAGGTGTTGCCACAAGTCCTTTCGGTGGCACAGCTAATACAGATGGCGAGAAGGCTGCAGCAGCACCGCAGCCGTTATTTGCACCCAAGGCTGTGGAAGGCGCAAGTTCAGGCTCAATTGCTGTTGCAGATATGGTGAAAAGTAGTGATGACGTCGAGGCTGAGCCAGATGTTTACTTTGAACCAGTTGTGACGCTAGAGGAGGTGGAGGTCAATACTGGGGAGGATGACGAGGATGTATTGTTCGAGGCTAGAGCAAAGCTGTATAGATTCGTCGGTGATCAGTGGAAGGAGAGAGGTACAGGTCCGGCCAAACTGTTGAAACATAAACAGAGTAAAGCCGTGCGGTTCTTGCTGCGGAGAGACACAACGCATAAGATCGCATCTAATCACCGTATCATAGCCGCTATGAAACTGACGCGCGACACCAACGAACGTGTGATCTCGTGGATGACACCATCTGATTTCGTGGACGGAGAAAGCACAAAAGAGCTTTTCAAGATACGATTCAGGACTGATAACGACGCGGATAATTTTAAAACACAGTTTGAAAAGTGTGTGTCGGAGGCTGTGTTGGATAGTGAGCGTGAGAGTACGACAGGCGATGCTGCAACTAGCGAGGACACCACAGTAAGAAACACTGCAGAACCCGAGGTAAAGGATGATTCGGATGATACTGATGATGACGAAGAGCAGATTGAAGATACGAACGAGTCGGCAGGCGTGCCAGCATCAAAAACTATACCAACCTCCTCTATTTGGGGTGCTCCAGCCGGTGATAAGTGGAGTTGTGAGGGATGCCTTTGCACGAACCCGAAATCGGAGGATGTCTGTCCAGCGTGTGGTATGGGCAAAGATGGTAGTGCACCAGTTGCCGAGATCAAAAAGGTCCCTGTCTCGACATTTAGTTTTGGAATTCCGGCACCCACAACCGACGGCATACATTTTGGAGGTGCCTCTAAGGGATTCAGTACAGCACCGCAGCCCGTATTTGGTGTCCCAGTGACAACCAACCAGAATGGTGCAAAGTCACAGGAGACACTGGCAGTGGTGTCGGGCAATACCGATGATGTCGAGGCGGAGCCTGACGTGTACTTCGAGCCTGTTGTGACGCTGAAGGAAGTAGAGACTCAGACTGGTGAGGAAGACGAAGACGTTTTGTTCTTGGAAAGGGCCAAATTGCATATGAAAGTGGAGGGTGCGTGGAAAGAACGAGGGGTGGGCATCGCTAGAATGCTGAGACATCGTAGCACGGGGGCGGTCAGGTTCCTGATGCGTCGCGAAGCGACGCATAAAATATGTGCTAATCATACGATACCAGAGGGGCTTGCTATTAAACCCGCTGATAATCCTGCGGCTGCGTACTGGATAGCACCAATGGACGCATCCGATGAAGGAGAACCTCAACGACGTATGTTCAGTATGCGACTCAAGACGGAAGAACAGATGGACAGGTTCAGGCAAGTGTTTGAGGCAGCTGCGAAGGGAGAAAGCGCAGGACTTTCCGTAAAAGAATCGGAGGAAGATAATGTAATTGAAAGGACAGCTGCAAATCCAGCGGGGGAGTGCAAGTCCGTTACGGTTGATGGCGACAATAGCTCAATTGTAACCAATAGCACGCTGAACGGAGACGGTGCCACTAAAAAAGACACACCTGAAACGTCTGCATCGAACGGCACACCTCAATTTAAACCCAACTTTGGCGTTCAAGGTGAACCGGCTCTGTCCATCAACACAAATGCAGGATCTGTATCGAATTCGACGGGATCTGTCAATCCGCCCACGAAGGTCACCTTTGGGAAGCCTATGCCTGGCGCTGATCCATTCACAAAGCCAAACTTCGGTATGTTCAATAGTACACTTCCTAAATCCGGTTTTGGTTTTGGCGGGTCAAGTAACGAGCTAGCATCGGTACCGCAACCGTTGTTTGGTAATACTGGTGCTTCTACTGCTACAGGTAGCGATCAGAAGAGTATTGGGACAAGTGGTGGTGTTGCGGATGATAAGGTATCACAGTTGGAAGACGAGCCCGATGTGCACTTCGAACCAATTGTGACGCTGGAAGAAGTGGCAGTTGAAACTGGAGAGGATGACGAGGATGTGTTGTTTGAGGTGAGGGCAAGACTCTACAGATTTGTCGATGATCAGTGGAAGGAGAGGGGCACGGGTCCTGCGAAGTTGTTGAAGCACAAGCAGAGTGGTGCCGTGCGGTTCTTGCTCAGGAGAGATAAAACACTAAAAATATCGTCTAACCATCGTATCATTAGTAATATGGAACTGAAGCTCGATACCAATGAGCGTGTGTTCTCGTGGGTGACACCTAATGATTTCGTGGACGGCGTGTGCACCAAAGAGATATTTAAAATACGCTTCAAAACTGACGAGGCCGCAGCAGAGTTCAAGGCAAAGTTCGAGGAGAGTGTTACGGGTGCCTCCAAAATGTCAGCGAGTGGTGGTGACAGCGTAATAGATGCCTTGGAGAGTCCTCAGGAAAAAAGCGGTGAGGGCCAGAAGGATAGCAACAATGTCCAGGGTTATGGTGGTGGAAAGCATAGGGAGACGGAGGATGAAGGTGCACAGGAAGACCGAAGTGTTGAGAAGGAGACGGAAACCTCTACTCAGAGTCCCCGTGATGATACTTCAAAAACTGGTATGGCGGAGGAAGACGCTACAGAAGATTCGGTTACGCAAGCGGGGAGTGGCGCTTCAATTGGCGTAGACAACGAGCAAACCGAGAACTCTGATGCGGATGTTCCGGCACAAAATGTACAACCAAACGAGGAAGTCGAGAAGGATTTGAATAGGGGGGATGAGGGCATGGATGTTGTGCAGGAGCCGGTAGTGAGTGCGCCTGTGGATGGGAAAAGTGATATGGAGGTTGCGCCAGGTGCTGATGTTGCAATTGTGTCCGTCGCTGAAGAGTCAGTGGTAAATGCGAATGTGGATAAAGGCAACGTGGTGGAAAATTTGGAGGATTCGGAGAGAGAATTTTGTTGTGAAAATGCGAAGCTGTATGTTTTTGCAGATGACCAATGGGTAAATGTTACATCTCGGAATGAGGAAGCGACACGCACAGCTGGGGACGAAGGTGTCGTGAAGGTAAAATTAGATTGCAGCAACGGGCAGCAGTACTTCACTGGATCGTCGGGCGAGCGCGTGCTCGTAAAATTTACGAACAATGAGAAGGTGGAGGTAATCGATGCCCAGGACGCCCAAAAAAACAGTCTGAGACTCAGTTGTTTCACTGATGATACGAAAGGCAAGGCAACGTATCGAATAGACTTCCCACGCGCGGATATACTGGAATCCTTCAAGGCTTCGTTCATAAACAGCAGCTCTGATAGGAACTTCAAGACTAACGTGCAATCTGACTACGATGACAAAGAGAGCGATTCTCGTGACGATGATGAGGAAGAATACTTAAAGGAGGTAAGTTTGCAAATCGTACAAATCCAAGGTACTTATTTCAATAACTCGGGTCTATAGGTGATTTTGTGTATATCTTGCTATTTTCGGTGCAAGAAATTCATGTTTTAAACTAGGCAGCTGGCTGCAATGCATACACTTAAGAAGATACACTTGCTTACCTTGTTGCTAGTCTATTTTCAATCAGGGTATACGTGTGTGAGTCGAAAGAGTATTGCAGTTAAAATGCGTATGAGTTATTTCTGGAAATATGTGCGTAAGCGGAATTTGTGATTTCGCAAGAAGTGAGCTGGTAGGTGATAAAGCAGAGATATGGGCACTTCATTTAGCTATTTGTTCGAAATTTAACCCAGAAAGCTCACTCCTGGTGATTAAAGTATAAGCGATCTGAAGGCTCACAGAACCACTGGAATACCTCTTTCAGACACTCAAGGCTAAGGATTTACAAGGCACCGAGCATCTGGTTAAAAAAACAGCGACCCTTTACCAGCTAGACAGCGATACGAAAGAATTTGTAGAGCTGGGTAAGGATTTTGCATACATAGTAAGCCAACCCGATGTCTACAATGGTAAGGCACGCTTCTGGATGTGTATAGGCGACGATCCGCGGGTGGCCGAACACTTTGTGCGAAGATGCTCACCTGTGAAAATATGTGCAAACAATACTTTCAGTTGGACAACGCCAATGAATTACACAAAAGAGGAGGCTGGAGGTCTACCAACCACATTCCGTTTAAAATTCGAGAGTAAGAAACAGATGCTAGCATTTAGGAGGGTATTCGAGGAGCATCGTGAACTAGGGGATACGGCGTAGGATTCCGTATGCTTCAAGAGATTTGCTCCTACTTTGCGTGCAGGCTCCTGAGTCCCATGTGAGAATTGGTCGCTGCATACCTGGACTGTACGCAAGCGATGTGTACCATATTCAACCTTTCGGTAAATCGAGTGCACTCATATGACTACCACCAACCTGGATAGATATGTGCTGGGGGTGTTGAAGAATGGTAATCTAATTTCATAACTGAACTTTGACAGCCGCAAAGAATCCCCATGCCATCGGCAGTCTTTCTCTACTCACGCAGAATAGTTGTCTAAGCAAGTATTTGTCCACAGGTGTGTTCGTTGGGAGGCGTTCACATCTGCGGGCTGCTGCTGGAGCGCTGAGTTGTTCGCATCGGAGTGCACAGCCAATACGTATTGTGCATCCGTACGTGGCTGCTGCTCCTTAAGAAAGTAGGCCTTAGCCGCGATGATATATTCGAGCGGTTGTGGTACCCATAGCCTTCACATGGCTAGTGCGTGCATATTTGAATGGGATGAATGTATCATCCGCCAGACTGATGATATATACAAAATAGTAATGCCACGCAGTATGTAGCGTGTTATGAAAGTATAATATCAATTAAACTTATTTCAAAAATGAACTTAGAAGGATGGGATCAAATTTATTATTACCGCCTGCCCATGAGCGAGGCATATAATAGTACCCAACATGTGGTGATTCACGGAGCAGAAAATTATGAAAACGACTATATTCTTCATCAATGCAAATGATATTTATCACACGATTGTACAGTAATCTATTAGCACAAAATGATAGCCCAATAAGGATGTTAGCGGCGTCAGTTATTCAAATCCTCCAGCTGTTCGGTACATATAGGAATGGATCTCCCAACATATTCTCATTCGTTGATTATATGTTGATTCCGCTCGAAAACAAACATTTGGTACAATATCTGCTTATACACGTATTGAAATCAATCCGTTCACATTTCAAAGCATAAATTATTGTTAAATAGACGTTTTGAAGACAATAGAGCAGCTTTTACATCACTTCGTATACTCGCACATGTTCGCATATGTCCCATTTGATGACTAAGATTCATTCATTCATGAGGCTTTCTCACGTGATTTAGATGCGTAGGATTATGCACGTATTGTGAACTTTCCAATCTGATGCATAAATTCATGACATATCATTTTCAAAGGCCTTATATGTCAACGAGCGTGGACAAAGAATCCGAATAGAAAAACTTCTATTTCACGAGATCCCACCCTCGCGGATATGATGTGGCTCGGCGCTACTCAATAGAAATGACTGAATCAATCAGAAAATCATTATACACCTTGTTGGGACCTAAAATAAACACGATATACACCAAAAATATTACTGAGCAACGCATGGGCCGTGACAAGACTGCTTGTAAAATCACATCAGTCTAGCCTGCGAGAGCCTACATCATACTATATTGAAGTGGGTCTATTGCGCAAAGTATGTAGCGTCAGCACATTGTATTGAGCTTGCTTTCGCTGTGCGATAGCGTTTATCGTATCAGGCAGAATTATTTTGTTGAGCTTACTGATTCATGATTCAGTCTTTAATGTATCAGACAGAGATACAATTCAGTATAACAAGCCATTCGCTGCGAACACGAGTCTATACTCTCGAGTGGAGCCGACTTTCAAGACAGTACGAACATCATTTCGGGTTAAGTACTATGTGGATCCGGAATTAATCCGAAAACAATCAGGGTAGACAATTAAGACAATTATATCTGCAAATACACCCTACGATTGCGCCAGCTATACCGAAGCAGCCCTGTATAGAATTGAGAAGCCAAACAATGCATAAAATACTAAAAGTGCGCTACATACATGCTCCGAACAGAATATATTATTCAATAGAGATGTGATTCGATGCTGCAGGCGTGTACCACTTTTGTATATTTAAATTATATGCAGCATTATGCGCGTGTCAATTGTCCTATATATATTTGAGTGAGAATATTCATCTTATTTTACTGTCATAATCGTGCCATATAGGACTTGGACGATCATATCTCAGAATAAGCCCGAAGCAACCGATCGTGAAGGAATGGTTGTAACCGCATGAGTCCCTTAGGTGATACTACGCGGTGTACCGGCATAGGCTCATATGTGCCCGGCACCATCTTCCCTTCTGCCACGCGTACACTACCTAATATATCTTCGTGTTCGGCAATCCTGAAAGGTAGCAAGAGTTTATGGATTAAATATAATTATGTGTCAAAAACATGTACGAACGACAGGCTGCCGTTTACACACAACACACTGTCAATGATTGCCAGGACAAGGTTACCCGAACGTAAGACAGGCAATATGCGCTTGAACCCCCATTAAAAACATTGGTACGTACCTATTCTGATAGGGTGGATTCCTAGGATCATTCACGTGCATCCAACCTACGTCAATCATCTGGGCAAGGTACTTGTGGTCCTCGTCATCCACTATATTATCGCCGACTACTTTCTGAAAGAATCTGATAAATTCTTTGTTATCTTCAAAGTTGGCAGGTGTTACACTGCACCCTCGTTTCAACCATCCTATAACGGCGGGACCTACATCAAACAGGGATGCCTTGGTGTGTCAAGATGCTTGTTCCACAAATATGTCAACTAAAAACCACATTGTCCTTTAAGATATGTATATTTGAAGCTAAAGTTTACACAACAAAGGGAATGGACTTTCCCTCGATAGTGACTCATGGTTAGCTGAAAGTGTTACTATATAAGCATTACAAAACAGCTCTCAAAGGTATGCGGCTGTCACAACAATGTCTAAGCGGCGCCGATGTGATTTCTAAGAGCGCGTACCGAGCAACCATCTATTGAAACAGCTAATAGATATTTTTATACCATGGCCCCTAGTAATATCGCCTCTAGGAACTCAGCCAACCATATGATACTTCCCATCTTTCACGAGAGCTTCATAAAGGTGCCCATTTTACAGATTTATAAAAAACAACTACCAACAAGAAAGTCCCTATGTGCCAGGTACTAATGATCGTTGCGGGACACAAAAGGTCCCAGACAAGCGTGTAGACCCAGTACTCGCGATTGACGCTTGTCACGAGAGTTGCTCACAACTGTCCATGCAATACTGATGATCGACGCTAAACACCAACATCTCACAAAAGCGCCATGTCCTGCACTAGTGAATACGGTAATGCAAGTATGATCCTCGAGTTTTTTAGTTATGCTGGACGCATAGTCCCCCATCAAATTGCCATACACATAGTGGTTGTGGTCAATTACGAAAGTGTCAGGTAAAAGAGCGTTTCATATGAGTGAATAGTACTAAACACACACAACTCTCACACGCGTCTATGCCCTAGGCCAGTAATTCATGCCAGACACGAAAGTCTGATACAAGTGCCCGTGCCCCTTACCAGTGAATGAACCCGAACACGCGTCTCAGATGTATGCCCAGCCAACTAACGAGAGGAGAGTACCACAGACAAAGAGTCCCACACAGGTGGACATACTCTATGAGAAACCCTCACACGATGTAGTAGTGGAGAACCAGAACATTATACAACTGTGACAAGTTGACAAAAGACACACTCGTAGTAATTGAATAGTGCTGACCGTGAGAGAACCCACATGTACCAGTACAAGACAATACAAGTGAATGACTTTAGACACACTACAACCAAAATATGCAGGTATGCCAATAATTACACACGCACCTCGGGCCAGCGTGTCGTCTTCCAGGTAAGAAAGTACCACTTCCCCACTATCGCGTTCGTGTATAAAAGCTCGGCTTTCTACCGTGTTCCCATCTTTCACGGGAGTGGTCTTCGTGACCATGCACCTGACTATGCACAGCAATCAACACAACAGACATGATTGAAAGCAAATTCATTTGGAGTCCAGACGATACATGTACAAGTGTATTTCGTATAGCGAAGGACGCCTAATTTATTAAGAATGCCATGGAGGCCTATTTACTGAGTTCTACAAAGAGGGTCACTCCACATAAGTATTAAACCGGAATATGTGTAATTATGAGCGAAGAATGCGAAGCATAGAGAATGCACTCGCTCTAGATCCAGCCTCGTAACACGTGATATGAGCAAATAATTATCAGACGCATGACTGATTATGTCTGAATATTTTAGATCCATACATCTGGTGCCCGAATTTCGCACCATACATACATAATTGGGTGGATCACGTGCTGCGATAGAGGTGCGATAGATAGAAAGATAGAAAAACAGGAAATCTACTATTTACTATGATACGTTGGGAACCATGCGGTTGCCAATACAGCCAGGGGATAAGCAACGATGCAGTCACGCGAGCCACATGTCCGCACATCGTTACATATAGACAACTGTACGAGTTGCTAAGTGCTAGAGAAACACCATGGGACAATATCTACATATCTAAGTATCATTACAAATGTTCAAATTTGTGAGATATTACATGCGAGAGGAAGACCACGGGACAATATCCACATATTCAAGTATCACATGTTTAAATGTGTAAGATATTACGTGCGAGTGAAAGACCACGGGACAATATCCACATGCCCAAGTCTCACTACATATGTTCAAATGTGTTAAGATATTATATGCAAGAGAAGGACTGAAGAAGAGTGTCCGTGTGGCTCCGAGTATGAGTATCGCTATACGCGTACAAGTGTATAAGAATGTAGCGATGTGCACGTGTCCAGGTATAATTAGTATCTTCTCAGTGTACAAGAAAATAAGTGCAAGAGAAAGATTACGGGAAGTGTCGTTTCTGACGAGGAGCTGAGAGCTCGCCCGTGCGTACAATCAAGCCATTGCGTGGGCCAATAGCCAGCGCAAAAGAACCCCCGAGTACTAAATTTGCGCTCCACACTGTGTGCACCATGCACATACAATTGCGATGTCTTGCAAACATCTTTGAGCCCTGACTGAGTTCGCAACTATTGTAGTTGATCTAGTATCTGATGGCATATATGCACAGGGCCATTCATTCTACTATGAACATATGCCCCCTTTGCAATGTTCAGCGGTGTACATATGTTGGCGACAGAGTAGAAGTTGCGGCATCAAATATTAACAACGGAATAGAGTTACCCACTCAGCCCACTTATTCTTGTACTAGTGAATGACATATTTCTAGATGTAACATGTGAATTGTATTGACTACGGCATACTAGAGCGTTAAGGCGATCCGATTTAACCCCAAGTTCAACAATCAATGGCAAAGAAATAATTTTCCTCAACATCTCGCACAACGAACGCACACGCCCAGATCGGTGCTATCACTCCCAGTAGGGACCAAACACGGTCTAAAAGCTCATCATAATGCTATCGATGAACAGGGTTGCCTGCAAACCAATTATCGCACAATTCCTAAATTATCAAAACACATAGTTGCATATAAGTACATTTCGCTAGAGAGTAAACACATACCCGACTAACAACGAGTCTATACTTAGACTAGATGGCACACGCTCGTTGAGCAGGCTCCATTCTATTAAGCAACACATTCTCCTTTAGTAAGATCTATACTATCAAGTAACGCTTATGCAGGATTCCAATAACACATACCTGCACAACGGGCTGCTACTGGCTTTGCCTGATTGCACACGGGTGACAGTCTTTGAGCAGTCGACCACAAGGTTGTGAACGTACCAAAAGACCTGTAAGTAGACATGGTAGTAGATCGTTACACCCTCGATTCTTGACTTTGATATTTATTTGTGAATGTACGTATGCAATGTGATCACTCTAAGAGGCATATGCCGCAAGTATATGACCAGACACGAGGCCCTGAGGGGGGAAAGTGGAAGAACCGACGGTATTTTCAATCGCTAGTTATTTTCTATATAAAAAAACAAATAAAAAATACAGGTATGTAATCTTTTCGATCAGAGGAGAGTCTCTCGCTTTCTCTCTCTCTCTCTCTCTCTCTCTCTCTCTCTCTGTCTCTCACTCAAATAAATAAATAAATAAAGACAGAAATGCATTCACGGGTATGTATATCAATGGCCATTTGCTATATAAATAATTACAAAGTTTCCAAGCACTAGTATTTTTAGTTGTTGGAACAAGAAAAGGATAGCTACAATACATCTATCGTGTGACCGCGGTGCGACTTTGAAAACATAAATGGACAATCAATTTAGGGGTATGGCATCCATATATTGTATGTGACTACCCATGGAGGTGTGTAGGTGAAATTTATATCGACTCAAATATATTTGTATGATACACACGCGCCAAATATTGGATTGTATTGATTTTCAGATCAACATATCGTTGTGAAGAGCTCTGGAGGACTAAATATCCACCATTAATAAATATGATATGATCACAGGTTGTATGAGGGGTCTCCTATGCTCAACTACCTTTTTGGGTGACATATTACAATATATATATACAAAATAATGAATTATATATCGTGATATACTGAGTCTTGTACATATTTAACTTATCTATATACCAAAGAGCACCTATCGTCTGAATAACGGAAAGTTAAGTGCATATTTTTAACAGGTGAATTTCAATGTTCGGTATATGTTTACTTGTCATATGTTTTATATAGTGTAGTTAACGTGCGCGTATGTATGTATGCTTGTATGTGTGTAGAAACGATTGCATACATATACGGTCAAATGTATGTGTATCTTTTTGTGTTTGTGCATGTGTATGCATATATATATTGTGTGTATGTATATATACTTCGTTCTGTGTCTATGTCTGCGTCTATATTTATATTTGTATA